TGTGAGTGAGCTAGTATGTGGTTTGTTAGTCTCAGGACAGCATGCTATCTTAAAGGTATCTATATTGCAGATGTTTGCACGCAGCACAGAGTACTCCAGCGCCTGCTGGTCCTGCCTTCCATTTGCAGCTGCATTATTACTGCTCTGAGTGAAGTCAGTAATGGGCTGATTCTCTTCTTTGCCTGTTCACAGACTCTTGTGCTTGGATCTTACCTGATTGCTCATGGGTTCTTCAGCGTCTATTCAATGTGTGTTAAAACCATTATCATCTGCTTCTGTAAGTATCCAGTGTGTATGTTTGTGGGAAACTGAAAGATGAGAAGGTTAAAAGCTCAGTCACCTACCTGGCTTGGTGATGTGCCGTTACCTAACCTCTAATGTAAAGCAGCATTTATTTGGAAGGAGACCTTACTTGTACATGCTCATTAGTTCTGTTTTGGAGAGACTAAAGCAAGAGGACTGACTGTCAATTTCTGGCCAGGCTGTGCTACGTAGCATGACCTTATCTCAAAAGTAAAAAGTCTTGAGCTAAGAAATTAAATCTTGGTTTTATGTTTTCCATGGAGTTAGTGTTGTGGGGCATTTTTGCTACTTTCAGAAATGAACAGATAGAGTTGAAAGGTGACACTTTAGAAAACCACAGGAAGAGCTTCCTAATAGCCATGATAACCATGGAGACAAAGCTCCGAGGGCCCGTGGGTCCTGTGTGAGGTACCCAGGGGCTGTGTCTCAGGCGCAGGCCAGTTGGTGCCTTCTCCCTTGCCAGCATCGTGTCTGCTTGCCTTGTGCTTGACATGCTAACACTAACTCCTCTGGTTTCTCCCTGTTCAACTCTCCAATTTGTGAAACTCTGGGTCTCGGTTCTGCTGCGGCCCCCACCTTTGCCCTGCCTTGGCTACTGATGTACAGGTGAAGATCTGGAGAGAAATGACGGATCAGCAGAGAAACCTTACTTTGTAACCCCCAGCCTGCACAGGGTTCTGACCAAGACACGTCCAGTTTCCCAGAGACAGAGAGAGTAGAAAAGCTCCAAGCAGGAGTTTGTTTGTTTGTTTTTGACTTCGGTTGATTGCAATGTGAAAATGTTGCTTTGGAGCAGTATGCAAGCTCCATGCTGTTCTGAAAAATGTTGCCATTGGTACCATCTGAGGGATCCGGCGTTTGATGGTGGCCTAATTTACTTTATAGACTGTGGTCCCAATTGCAAAAACCTGTAGCTGACAATGTTTTAATAACTTTTATAGCTTTGCTAGCCTTTCTTTTTAAATAAGTGTATATTTGTAAAGGATATTCAGGCAGTTGTTCGTTTTTTTACAAGACTACAAATGTGTAATCCATTAGCCATAAAAACGTTGAGTTCTAGTTGACCAGCGTATGGTACTAAATTTGTAAATATGGTGCTATGTCCATAGTTACTGTTTAAGCTGGTGAACAGCTGTTTAAAACTGTGATTCAACTTGTAACCCTGGTTCCTAGAGAGCCTCTCTCAAGTGGGCGATTTAGTCCGTGACAGGCATGTAAAAGTGTGTGTCCCACAGATTCACAGGCTAACCTCGCTGCAGTGGGAGTGAACCTGGGTCCTTGTGGTTCATCAGTTTCAGTGAACTGAGACTCATGCTGGGGTCAAATCTAGATTTGGGATTATCGTTTCCATTGCTATGAACCTTGGCCACCCTGAGAACATCCTGAGCAGAGCAGAAATGGCTGCCTCTCTCTTTGCTTGTCTTCCTGAGTTTCCCTTTCCAGCCATACAGAAGGCCCGTGGACTCTCCTTGTCATGGGTACAGACCTATGTCCCTGTGACGTCCCTCAGCAGAAGGTTTGAGTTCAGCTTTCAGTGAAGGAAGAAAGCCGATGGGTCCCTTCAGATTTCTATCAGGTACCACAGCTCACGTTTCACATCAGAAAATCTCCCTGCCCCCACCACAGCCCCAGGGCTTAGAGAGGAAGCTGGTTTGTTGTGGCCGTGCCTAAATCTCACATGATGTGGAAAAGTGTGACTTGGACCCAGACATTTTGCCTGCTCTTGTGTGTGTGTGTGTGGGGTGTGTGTGTGTGTGTGTGTGTGTGTGTGTGTGTGTGTGTGTGTGTAGGTAGACCACATGGCCAGTATAAAACACCCCTCCAAAGAGCAAGGGATTAATCTGTGCCCTTTTGGTTTTGACGTTACTCTTGTATCAGATTGTCTATTAATGATGGAATGTGCGGATATCAATGTGGCCCTCACATTTGAGAGTCCGGAAGACATCCTTGAGTTACAAGTTAATATGAACGCTAATTTATTTACTTATCCTCAAGTGTGTGAACCTAGACTTAGGACAGTTTTATGGAGACTTTCTACATAGAGCCAGTTATTCTAGAAGGTTTTCAATGTATTGGCCCACATGACAGCCAGCAGCTTGTTCTTGGCTTACTTTATTGAAATGACACAGTCACAAATGCCACCTGGCCAGGAGAAGGCTCATCCTTTCCTTGGTAAGGTAGAGAAAAGCAATCACTTACCTTTTTCTTGAATTTTGGTAGTGTTTTGTTTTCAACCATGCAAGTACCTCAACAAAGACCTTTAGGAATGTGACATCTACTAGTGACTCTGTAGCTGCAGGTGTCCGCTGTACCCAGGGACTTATGATTGGACATGGGCCACTCTCTGGATTGTGATAAAATCTTTTAATTGATTCAGCTACACAGATCAGATTAGCTGTAGATCAGATGTGATTAATTAGCTGTCATTTTTGTTTGTTTGTTTGTTTTTTGTGTTATGGTGTATTTCTGCTGGGAAAAAATAGTCTCCGTTTATTACTTCTGTAATTAAAAAGCATAGAGTAAAAATGTATGTTGTTTTTGGAGAAGAATTTTAGAAGCCATTTTCTTACACAGCAATTAAACGTTTTTAAAACACAGAGCAATATTTTCAGAGCTGTCTATGGAAGGATTTGCGATTATACACAAAGACCACTTTGTCAAGGTTTTGCAATCTAAATTGTCATTGGCAAAACAAAGGCAATTTGGAAGCTTGGATATTGTAATTTAGGAAGTAAATTTGAGTGGGGAGTAAATGTTATTTCCTCAATCGTTCCATGGAAAGGCTTGAAGTGTCTCCAGAGCTGACCTGGGACACCGACTGAAATGGTATCTGATCGCTGTATTAACAAGGGCTGATCGTTTCCCATAGCTGTTTACAATGATGCTAACGGTGTCTGTTCTAGCCATGTTTGGCGTTGCTGTGCAGAGTGTGGGCAGCAGGGGGCGATGTTGCTCCTCCGGCCGCTCTGTGTGCCATTGACTTCCGCCCTCCTCCCTCCTAGTGGAAGACTTAGAAAGGAACGATGGCTCTCCTTCCAGACCCTATTTCGTGACTCCGGACCTCAAGGAGATTTTGATGGAGTCAAGAATGAATGAGGATAAGTATTAGTAGGAGAGCCAGCGGGGGATCCTGCCGCCTGTGTCACCGCCTGCCACACCCCAGACACAGTGCTTTG